GTAGAAAGTACAGGTATTTGGGTTCAACATGTAAGAAGTAGAAAGTACAGGTATTTGTGTTCAACATGTAAGAAGTAGAAAGTACAGGTATTTTTGTTCAACATGTAAGAAGTAGAAAGTACAGGTATTTGTGTTCAACATGTAAGAAGTAGAAAGTACAGGTATTTGTGTTCAACATGTAAGAAGTAGAAAGTACAGGTATTTGTGTTCAACATGTAAGAAGTAGAAAGTACAGGTATTTGTGTTCAACATGTAAGAAGTAGAAAGTACAGGTATTTGGGTTCAACATGTAAGAAGTAGAAAGTACAGGTATTTGTGTTCAACATGTAAGAAGTAGAAAGTACAGGTATTTGTGTTCAACATGTAAGAAGTAGAAAGTACAGGTATTTGGGTTCAACATGTAAGAAGTAGAATCAAATCAAATCAAGTTTTATTGATTTAGCCAAAGTGCTGTACATGTAATTTAAACACATAAAAACACATTACATAACAATAAATCACAACAGATAAAAACAACACATGGAACAGTCAGGAGTCGTAACCCCACTCTAACTAGAAGGCCAGAGAGAAGTAGTGTGTCTTCAGTGTGGATTTAAAAGCTCCTAGGGTCTGGGCCGACCTCACATGGAGGGGAAGAGTGTTCCAGAGCCTGGTGCCAGCTGCTGCGAAGGCTCGGTGCCCTCTGGTTTTGAGCCTGGTCTTAGGCACTACCAGCAGCAGCTGGTCAGCAGATCTTAAAGCTCTGGCTAGGGTGTAGCGCTCAGCTATATAGGCCAGAGCCAACCCATTTAGTGCTTTAAATACAAATAAAAGGATTTTAAAATCAATTCTGAACCGGACTGGAAGCCAGTGTAGTGAGGCCAGAATTGGGGTGATGTGGTCACGCTTTTTGTGGCCAGTCAGGAGACGTGCAGCTGCGTTTTGGACTAGCTGCAGGCGTTTAATTGATGCCTGGTCCATACCCACATACAGAGCGTTACAATAGTCCAGTCTTGAGGTCACAAAGGCGTTAATAACCCTTTCCAGGTCTTTAAAAGATAAATACGACTTGGTTTTGGCCAATAGTCTTATTTAAAAGAAGCAGGATTTTGTGTTCAAAATGAGAGAAGTAGAAAGTACAGGTATTTGGGTTCAACATGTAAGAAGTAGAAAGTACAGGTATTTGGGTTCAACATGTAAGAAGTAGAAAGTACAGGTATTTGAGTTCAACATGTAAGAAGTAGAAAGTACAGGTATTTGTGTTCAACATGTAAGAAGTAGAAAGTACAGGTATTTGTGTTCAAAATGTAAGAAGTAGAAAGTACAGGTATTAGTGTTCAACATGTAAGAAGTAGAAAGTACAGGTATTTGTGTTCAATGTAAGAAGTAGAAAGTACAGGTATTTGGGTTCAACATGTAAGAAGTAGAAAGTACAGGTATTTGGGTTCAACATGTAAGAAGTAGAAAGTACAGGTATTTGTGTTCAACATGTAAGAAGTAGAAAGTACAGGTATTTGTGTTCAAAATGTAAGAAGTAGAAAGTACAGGTATTAGTGTTCAACATGTAAGAAGTAGAAAGTACAGGTATTTGTGTTCAATGTAAGAAGTAGAAAGTACAGGTATTTGAGTTCAAAATGTAAGAAGTAGAAAGTACAGGTATTTGTGTTCAACATGTAAGAAGTAGAAAGACGTCAGAAAAATAAGTAGTGGAGTAAAGTACTGATACCAGAAAAATGTACTTAAGTACAGTAACGAAGTATTTGTACTGCACTACTCTCCTTGTGTTTTAACCCTCTGTGTTTTCTTGACTCTCCAGTGAAAATAAGTCTGACTTCATGAGGGAGTGTGAGAGGAACTACTCCATGTGGACGTTCTCTGGAGGATTCAGGACTTGGGTCAAGATGTCTCTGGTGAGGACGTCCGGGAAAAGCCACGAGGCGGTGGAGTTTCGGCAAGAGGTATTTATATCTTACTTTTATCATTATAAATAAATACATCAAATGTTTAAAACAATTTAGAAAAGTCCTAATGCTAAATAAATATAATAAAAATACTACTGCCTTTTAATGCAAAACTATTTCCTTTTTAAATCGTGAATTATTATATATTTTATACAAACATGATTATTATTTGTATTCGTATTTTCTTAACTGAATTATTATCATTATATATTTTTTAAATATTTGTTTTTATTATTATCTTAGAAATAAGCCAAAATGTAATAAATAAAGTGTTTTTTTAAATAATTAAAGTCCGCTGTGGTGAAATTCAACGACAAAAGGCCGGACTCGGAGAAAAACAACCAGCTGTTCTTTGCCGTCTTTGAATGGCGCGATGCCTTCATGCAGGACATCCGACTGGTGAGTTCTCCACGTCTCTTTACCCTTTTTACAACATCTCCGTTTATCAATATTTAAAGGTCCCCTATTATACTGTTTTTCATCAATATATCACAGGTCTCAGATGGGGCAAAAAAGTATTTAGTCAGCCACCAATTGTGCAAGTTCTCCCACTTAAAAAGATGAGAGAGGCCTGTAATTTTCATCCTAGGTATACCTCAACTATGAGAGACAGAATGAGAAAAAAAAAATCCAGAAAATCACATTGTCTGATTCTTAAAGAATTTATTTCCAAATTATGGTGGAAAATAAGTATTTGGTCAATAACAAAAGTTCATCTCAATACTTTGTTATATTACATTACATTACATTGCATTTAGCTGACGCTTTTATCCAAAGCGACTTACAATAAGTACATTCGACCAGGAAGATACAACCTTGAAGAAAACAGAATCATATAAGTACATCAGGTTTCATAGAGCCAAACATTTCAAGTGCTACTCAACTGGCTTTAGATAAGCCAGTCCTTTATTAGTATATAAGTGCTTTGTTAGTAATTCTATCGCTCAAAGTGGAGTCGAAAGAGATGAGTTTTCAGTCTGCGCCGGAAGATGTTCAAGCTATCTGCTGTCCTGGTGTCAATGGGGAGCTCATTCCACCATCTTGGAGCCAGGATAGCAAACCCACGTGTTTTTGCTGATGGGAACTTGTTATATACCCTTTGTTGGCAATGACAGAGGTCAAACGTTTTCTGTAAGTCTTCACAAGGTGTTCACACACTGTTGCTGGTATTTTGGCCCATTCCTCCATGCAGATCTCCTCTAGAGCAGTGATGTTTTGGGGCTGTCGCTGGGCAACACGGACTTTTAACTCCCTCCAAAGATTTTCTATGGGGTTGAGATCTGGAGACTGGCTAGGCCACTACAGGACCTTGAAATGCTTCTTACGAAGCCACTCCTTCGTTGCCCGGGCGGTGTGTTTGGGATCATTGTCATGCTGAAAGACCCAGCCACGTTTCATCTTCAATGCCCTTGCTGATGGAAGGAGGTTGTCACTCAAAATCTCACGATACATGGCCCCATTCATTCTTTCCTTTACACGGATCAGTCGTCCTGGTCCCTTTGCAGAAACACAGCCCCAAAGCATGATGTTTCCACCCCCATGTTTCACAGTAGGTGTTCTTTGGATGCAACTCAGCATTCTTTCTCCTCCAAACACGTCTAGTTGAGTTTTTACCAAAAAGTTCTATTTTGGTTTCATCTGACCATATGACATTCTCCCAATCCTCTTCTGGATCATCTAAATGCTCTCTAGCAAACTTCAGACGGGCCTGGACATGTACTGGCTTAAGCAGGGGGACACGTCTGGCACTGCAGGATTTGAGTCCCTCGTGGCGTAGTGTGTTACTGATGGTAGCCTTTGTTACTTTGGTCCCAGCTCTCTGCAGGTCATTGACTAGGTCCCCCCGTGTGGTTCTGGGATTCTTGTGATCATTTTGACCCCACGGGGTGAGATCTTGCGTGGAGCCCCAGATCGAGGGAGATTATCAGTGGTCTTGTATGTCTTCCATTTTCTAATAATTGCTCCCACCGTTGATTTCTTCACACCAAGCTGCTTACCTATTGCAGATTCAGTCTTCCCAGCCTGGTGCAGGTCTACCATTTTGTTTCTGGTGTCCTTTGACAGCTCTTTGGTCTTGGCCATAGTGGAGTTTGGAGTGTGGCTGTTTGAGGTTGTGGACAGGTGTCTTTTATACTGATAACGAGTTCAAACAGGTGCCATTAATACAGTTAACGAGTGGAGGACAGAGGAGGCTCTTAAAGAAGAAGTTACAGGTCTGTGAGAGCCAGAAATCTTGTTTGTTTGTAGGTGACCAAATACTTATTTTACCGAGGAATTTACCAATTAATTCATTACAAATCCTACAATGTGATTTCCTGGATTCTTTCCCCCCATTCTGTCTCTCATAGTTGAAGTGTACCTAGGATGAAAATTACAGGCCTCTCTCATCTTTTTGAACTTGCACAATTTGTGGCTGACTAAATACTTTTTTGCCCCACTGTATATAGAACAGGTCTCTGATTGGCTGAAACACCAAACAAATCATTGCAGCATCCCATAATCCCCTCTGTTTCAGCCCTGTTTCCAAAGTGCTGATTCTCTGTCTGTTACTTTAGATGAAAATAATGAGCCCCTCCCCACGCCCCTCCGAGAAATATTTGGTTAAAAAGAACACAATGGAGCTCTAGGAGGAGATTCAGGTGATAAGGGGGGGGGGGGGGGGTTACCTTGGTTGGTGATTGGCTAATGGTTACACAAGACAAAACATCGTTATGACATCATGAAGTGGCCAAAATCTGATCAGCTCATTTTCAGACAGGTTTTTATAGAAATGGATCAAAAAGAGAGAGAATCTTTGTTCCTGAAACTTTCAGAGTCTCTTTCCACAGAGGGGACACATGTTGATGTAGAAGAGACATGAAGAAGAGGGGACACATGTTGATGTAGAAGAGACATGAAGAAGAGGGGACACATGTTGTGTAGAAGAGACATGAAGAAGAGGGGACACATGTTGATGTAGAAGAGACATGAAGAAGAGGGGACACATGTTGATGTAGAAGAGACATGAAGAAGAGGGGACACATGTTTATGTAGAAGAGACATGAAGAAGAGGGGACACATGTTGATGTAGAAGAGACATGAAGGAGAGGGGACACATGTTGATGAAGAAGAGACATGAAGAAGAGGGGACACATGTTGATGTAGAAGAGACATGAAGAAGAGGGGACACATGTTGATGTAGAAGAGACATGAAGAAGAGGGGACACATGTTGATGTAGAGGAGACATGAAGAAGAGGGGACACATGTTGATGTAGAAGAGACATGGAGAAGAGGGGACACATGTTGATGTAGAAGAGACATGAAGAAGAGGGGACACATGTTGATGAAGAAGAGACATGAAGAAGAAGGGACACATGTTGATGTAGAAGAGACATGAAGAAGAGGGGACACATGTTGATGTAGAAGAGACATGAAGAAGAGGGGACACATGTTGATGTAGAAGAGACATGAAGAAGAGGGGACACATGTTGATGTAGAAGAGACATGAAGAAGAGGGGACACATGTTGATGTAGAGGAGACATGAAGAAGAGGGGACACATGTTGATGTAGAAGAGACATGGAGAAGAGGGGACACATGTTGATGAAGAAGAGACATGAAGAAGAAGGGACACATGTTGATGTAGAAGAGACATGAAGAAGAGGGGACACATGTTGATGTAGAAGAGACATGAAGAAGAGGGGACACATGTTGATGTAGAAGAGACATGAAGAAGAGGGGACACATGTTGATGTAGAAGAGACATGAAGAAGAGGGGACACATGTTGATGTAGAGGAGACATGAAGAAGAGGGGACACATGTTGATGTAGAAGAGACATGAAGAAGAGGGGACACATGTTGATGTAGAAGAGGGGACACATGTTGATGTAGAAGAGACATGAAGAAGTGTATTTTACATAATAGGTCCCCTTTAACCCAAACGTTCCCTATTTACGGACAGATTGTGACGGCTAATCCCTGGAACTCCGTGGCCATCCTCTGCGGCGTCTTCATGGCTCTGTTCAAAGCCGCTAACTTTGCCAAACTCACCATCCAGTGGATCATTAAAATGCGGAAGAGGCATCAGAGAAATAAAGCTCGGGAGATGAACCAAATCCAGTGAGAGACTGTTCCAGAAACACACGGATGGTAAACTGGGAAAAAACCCTAATCATACAAATGAAGCTCAGCGCAAGTTCAACCAGGAAGACCATCTTTACTCATTCATTTACTATTTCCATGTCACTACTCTCTCTCCTCTCAATAAGTGATCGGGGGCATCTCTCCTAGGGTTGCAAAGGGGCGGAACATTTCCGGTAAATTTCCAGAAAGTTTCCATGGGAAGTTAAGCTGGGGAATTTTGGAAATATTCGATACAACATTTTTTAAAAACTTGACATTTCAACAGATTTTTTAGAACAGAACAAGTTTTAATTATTTTATTGAACAATTATTTGTTTGATTGAAGAACGAAAACAGGAATGTTGAGTTAAATATTACTCATCTGTGCATGTGATGGAGGAATGCACAGTGCCTGTGGGGGTGTGGTCTCAATAGCCGTGCAGTAAGTGGCATGGATATTCAAGTGTACTTGAATGGCATCTGTTTGTTTTAGTCAAGATTATGCTAAAATATACTTTCCCCAACTATATTTAAGTTCCCTATGAAGAGCCAACCTTCAATTTTGAAAATTCCCAGTTTATTCCCATAAATTCCCGTTAATTCCCATGGAAAATGTCCATCTTTGAAAATTCCCGGAATTTTGCAACCCTAGTCACTCCCCAGCTTAACCAATCACTTCGCTCTTTTCTCACAAGCCTATCATAGCGCTCCAGTAACCCCTTTTAAATCTGCTCTCCCCCCTCTGACAGCTGTCATTTCAGGTGACTCGACACAACCCCCCTCCACCCCTTTTCACCTCCTGTCCCTCTGAATCCAGGGTCAAGCTAAGCCCCTCCCCTTCAGACCGAACCCAACCATCCATTCACCACCACCAGTGTCAAGCTAAGCCACTCCCCTTCAGACCGACCCCAACTATCCATTCACCACCACCAGGGTCAAGCTAAGCCCCTCCCCTTCAGACAGACCCCAACTATCCATTCACCACCACCAGGGTCAAGCTAAGCCACTCCCCTTCAGACCGACCCCAACTATCCATTCACCACCACCAGGGTCAAGCTAAGCCCCTCCCCTTCAGACCGAACCCAACTATCCATTCACCACCACCAGTGTCTAGACCCCGGGGGGTTTCATCGGATCGGTTCTCCCCTCCTGAATGATACTCCTGCACAACGGGGCCTAATCGCCAAAACTCCATTACATTCATTCGTGTATTCCTGGCAATAAGTATGTATTCTTACATCAAAACCATCTCTCCTGATTGAAGTGAGTTTTATCCTGAAAATGTAGATTAAATTAGATTAGATGTTCTTTACTGATCTCAAAGTGGGAAATTATTTTTGTTACAGTAGCAGCAGATTAAGAATGCATTATAAACAGTAAATACACATATCAACAACCATCAAAAACACAATGTCAAATATGAAGAAAAAGTGAGAAAACATTATATTAGACCACCCTACTATAATACGATATATACACAACCTATTAAATACCATATACATGTGGTTGCAGTGTATTATTTATCATTATGTAATGATTGGTAATGATTATCAATACTATTTAACAATTTTTAGATTATAAAACTGCCGCCAGATTAATCATTTCCCCCCAAAAAATCGGCAAGAATTCAGTGGATTTTAAGGTGGCATTTCAAAATAAGAGGTATTATATAAATGTTTCGTACGCATATAAACTAAATTGTTTCTGAAAGCTGAATGTACTTTATTAGCTTTATTCAGGATGTTTTATAGAGCTTTGTAATATCTTTAACAACTCCAAAGGGATTATTATGAACTGCTTTTATTCTTCTGTTCCCTCTGAAATGTGTCTTTTGTGTCCAAATGTTTGCTGGTTGTTGTTCAAATGTACTGTGAATTAATGTGTTTTAATTCAAGTGTGTATATCTCACGCTGTGTTGCTATACATCTTGGAAATAAAAATATATTTGTAGGCCTGAATCGTGTGCTGAAAATGAAGAACAACACCAGATCTGATTAAGTTCTCAACGCACATCCGGCCTGTCGGCACGCAATTTCACAAAGTATAAGTAAATAATGCAAACTCACACAGGAAACACACACATCAGATAAAAGTGTGTGTGCAGAATAAGTGAGAAGAGATAACTAAGAACATTTACCTGATTTTAACTGACTTCTACTTTACTTAAGTAGTTGCAATTGATGCTATTTAATTCTACTTCAATTATTTGATAACTAATGTAATAGGTTACTTTGAAGATTCCGTTTATTAACACAACATATACGTACACTAATAAATACTTATGGAATATTATAGGATTACTATTCAGCAGTTTATAAGGTTGCTAAAATTATCCCCTTACCAGCTGCAGCATTAAAGTGATGAATCCAGTAATATATGATATACATCAAATTGATATATGCTATACTTGATAGTGTGTACTTTTTACTATGAGTAGTTCAAGTACATATTGTGAGGATCAGACTTTTGTACTTATACAAAAACATAATAATGCGGGACTTTTAACTCATAAAGTATTTACACAATTACTAAAGTACACCATTTTTTCCCAGATCTGTATCATTGAGTTTTTATGATCCTACTTCTATATTCTGTTAGCTGTAATTTAGCCCGTCAATGGTGTTTGATTTACAAGATAGTTTAGTATGAAAGGTAAAAGTGATCTTTTTTTATTATTTAAAGTCAGAACTCACATTTTCTTTAAAAATGTTGGTCACACATCCCAATTTAGTGTCCTCGTGTGGCCCTTATTCTCTTCCGTACAATCCTTTTTCACGACACTGAACGCCTCGTTCGTTTTTTTCCGAGCACCGAGCGAGGCTCCTGAACGCCCCTCGGGAGGAGCAGGCGGATGTTGTTGTTTTAGCTTCGCGCTGGAGGAGAAACATGCAGTAGCTTCAGACACATCTGGATGTTTTAAAGGTAGAAAACAGTCATATATCATATATATTTAATGTATAAAAGACACTATGACTTAGCTGAACTTCCTCACGCTTTTATAATTTAGTAAATCATTGATTACCTAAAGAAACGTTGGTGTACGTTTGGATAGCATGTTGTTGCTAGCATGCTAACATAGTAGCTAACTGTAGCTCTTACTTTACAGTTACATTTAATTATGTTAGAAGTCGTACTTTTGTATGTGTGCTTATCATTTTAGTTTGCTTCTAGATCCATTCATAATGACCTGTTATTATTTATGCGAAATTATTGAGCAGCTAGCCACAGCTAGGCTAACAACAAACAAATGATTCAATCATCTGCTAGTTCACCAATATAGTGAAAAGATAGTGTTTTTTTATTTGACTAAACTGTAAAGAATTGTAGAGTTGTTTTTGCAGCTTATTAACTTTGCATGCTTTATACCATCAGTTATAATTGGTATTGTAACTCCAGCTGCTCAATTGTAATGTGACTTGTTGATAAACTCATGTACCAAGTTAGCCAAAAAGCTAATTTAACACCTAACCTCTTCTGTTAAAGTGCTTTGTGCAGATGGTTTATTTTTTGGCTTTGAGGTAGATTTTAGGGAGATTTATCAACTCGATTAATCTTCTAAGACAAGGTGTCCTCTTCATTGTATGCACTATGTTTGCAGAGGAAAGCCCTGTTGTGGGTTTCCTAAAATACTTCCATATCAAACATCCTCCTCTATCCCCTGTGTGTTTGCCTCCATAACTACCTCAGTCCCTAATATCAGATTATTTTGATGTCTCTCCCTGCCCTGTGTATATATAACTATAATATGAAGTTTTAGAGTGGACTCTGGATCATTAGGAAAGGACATATTGCCTACACTAACTGTGCATGCTTTAGGTTGAACTGCTTTGTGTAGACAGGGTTGACTGTGTACTGCTGAGATATCCTCAAGCTACAAGACCTGTGAACTATTTAACTTCAGAGGCAGTTTCTCATTTCCCGTACATGGACTATGTTTGCAGAGGAAAGCCCTGTGGTGGTTTTCTGAAATACTCCCACATCGAACGCCTTCCCCTGTCCCCTGTGTGTTTGCCTACAGTTAAAGGTAGGGTGGGTAAGAATGGAGAAACCAGCTCGAGTGCGCTAGAATTTGAAAGTACAAAAGTCTCTGAGTGGTTTTTGTCGGAATGCCTGCAAGCAGAGAATTGCAGTAGTCAATGTGGGAGGTGATGGACCAGTTTTTCTGCGTCCGGTTTGGTGAGGGAGTGTGGTATTTTGGAGATGTTCCTCAGGTGGTAGTATGAGGCTTGGCAGGCCGTCTTACAGTTATACCGTAACTACCTCAGTCCCTAATATCAGATGATTTGATGTCTCTCCCTTTCCCTGTCTGCAGCTCTGTAGATATTCAGCGTCCAGAGGGAACATGACCCATGCATCATGCAGCTTATATTATTAATAGCTGCCCTCTGGTGCTCTTGCAGGGATAGGGAAATGGTGATGGGGTATTGTGGGACGTGATAATGTAATGAACCGAATATAGGCCTAAATTAAGAAGATGATAGGATCTCCAGACACTCCTCTTGGTCCTAATAAAGCCAAGTCAAAGTCAATTATTGTTGTTAAAGAAGGAGAGTTGTGCAGATGGAAAGAAGGAAGCCTCGTCAGGTTTTTTCTTTTCCGAAGCGTTATGATTTGGCCCAGTTGGCTTTCTTAAAGTCAAAGAGACACAAAACTCTGGCTTGATCTTGATAATCTTCTTTATATTCAAGAATCCTTACTTCTGTGGGTATTTACCGAATGAAGGCGAAGCAAAATGTCAATCTTCCTTTTCTGTACAAACACATTTGACCTTAAAAAAATCTATACAACCAAACGTTCCTTTTTTTTGTGTTTACCATCTGCATTTATGATGATGCAGTATTAGAGATGCATGTGATCCAAACCGTATTCATACTAGGGATGGGAATTTGAAAGAAAATGTATATTCGAATATTCGACCCCCAAAAAAACGGTTAACCGAAGTGTACATATCCTATATTTAAAAAAAAAACTTTTTAATTTTGAAAAATACATAATTCAAATAATTATAGAAACCAAGTCGAATGTGTCAAATGTATTGAACTGGTGATCACAGTTTGAACAGCTGACAGCTATAGGCCTACAGCTTTCATGCTTAAAACATAACTTGGTTTTTAAATGAAAGAGGGATCAAACACGAACAACATAACGGGTTAGGGTAACGTAACCCGTGACAACAGAGATCAACAACCTGTAACAGGGGCTATGCACAGAATGCAGCTATTCAATACTCATTCTTGTTTAAGAATATGAGCATGTCCTACTCAGGGGAGAGGCGATTCACAATCAGGCCAGCTGTAGAGGAGACCCTCTCAGCTGGAATGTGGGCATAAGATGAGGTTTGAGTCTGCGTGATCTGCGAGTAGGGAGGGGCAGCAGCCGTATCATTAGCTGGAACTAGATCTGATGGATTCGGACATAAACGCGAGTGAAGTATAACCGGACGCTAGAGAGAGAGAGATCAGCACCTGCAGCTCTGTTCCTGTGAGGGACCGGTGAGCGGAGCAAAACACACCTTTAGACCTGACACACTTAGCTATGGCACTGTCGTATACATTGAATTATTCCATTTGATCATATGTAATCAACTTAAGCACCCCTCCAAACAAATAAATATACATATTCATAACTCATATTCGAACACCTGAATAATTTCAATATTCGATTAATCGTTCCCATCCCTAGTTCATACAAACAAAATAATGACAAATGCATTCATTGGAATAATAATTATACTTATGATATAATAATATACTAAGTTATATTTTTTAATATCTTATTTTTTCAGTCCAAAACAATATATATTTATCTTTTTCAGTCAGTCATGTAATCGATTAGTCCGCTAGTCATTGCTGCTCTACCGGGAAGTTTCCTCTTGGTTTGTTGTTATGGTTTTGTCTTTGGTTTATTGTAATTTACACATTTCAAATGCTGTTACAAATACACTTTTACAACCACAAATCATTTAAACCCGTGACATTTGAACGCAGAACAATCAGAATCAGAATTCCTTTATTCGTCCCACAATGGTGGAAATGTACGTTGTTACATCAGAGAATAGATATAGAGACGAAGAAAATAGAACACCATTATATAAAAAGGCATGCACCTAGAATTTAAATTCAATTGGTCCCTACATCCATCCATCCATAACGATCATCTGTTTTCAACTTATATAATCAATATTCCAATTACTTGTATATAGACTATTCTTTAGGGATGCTCGGCAGAAATACTCTCTCTCTGCCGATCGATCGGTGCATGGCGTAAAATGATGACGTAAAATACATATGCGGCAAAACAAGCTCGCCAAGATGGCTTCACCGGTCTGGCAGTATTTTAAGGTGTCCGAAAATGACAATAAAATAGCGGTATGCAGCGTGTGTGAAGCAGAAATCCTGCAGCTCCGCCCGCTGTGACGGACCGGAGAGCGGAGCCACACACACTAAGAGTTAGACCTGACACACTTAGCTATTTGATCTACCTCTGGAACGAGGTTTTTATTTATTTAATTTTATTTAACCTTTATTCAACCAGATAAAAAAGCATTGAGATAAAATCTAATTTTCAATGCTGACCTGGCCAAGAAGGCAGCAACGTTACACATAACACAAACATATAAAATACAGAGAACATAACTAAGAAAACAAAAGACGAAAAGCAGTCACTACGTTGAGCACATTAGGACAGTAAGAAAGGAACTGCTTATCACTGCAAGAGCAGCTGGTGGTAAGGACCTCAGACAACTTCAATTTAAAACATGCTATTGAGACAAGTGCCGTCAGTTTGAGGCGTGATTGAAGGTCATTCCAAGACATAATAAAAAAGACTCCTTTCTCCAGCCTCAGTCCGCACAGCAGGAACCTGGACCCGTATCAGGCTCTGGGTCTGAGGTTGTGAGAGTCACAAACTGGAGCAAATCTGGCACATACAGTATGTAGAGTGGAAGCTTTCCTCAAATGGCTTTACACAATATTAAAAACCAATGCTGCATCCTACGCATAGTAAGTGAGGACCATCCAGTTAGGCTGTACAGTGTGCAATGATGAGTCCTATCGGGTGCATTTGATATATAACGCAGTGCAGCATGGGAGAGTGGGTCAAGTCGGGCCGAAACAGTGGGACAGGCAAATCTATAAATGGTAAACTAGTTATAAATATATTCATTCTTCACTGTCGGGTCACTCATTACTGGATCAGTGAGCTGCATGAGATACTGACAGGCTGTCATTTCTCCCGTGTTATTCTCCAAAGTTAATGTAAACTTGAATAATGTACTTCATCTGAATGTAATAATGATGTTGGTTGTTGTTTGTGGAAGCTCCAGTGAATGAGCATTAACTGAGTTTTAAAGGACACATGTCAAGCTTTTCCGGTTAGTACCCGTCCCCTTGTGTTATGAAGGTTTTTCTGCATGTAAGCGGTCTGCAGAGTCAAAACCCTCAAAGTGCACCCTGTAGCGAGTAAAACTCTAACACAGAAAATACCTCCCCAAAACGCCTCGTTGAAGATACGTCATTGTCCATTTGATTCTTCCGGGTACGCATGATGTCATCCGTACCCGGAACGAAATGGGAGCCGTTACGTTAAACCCCCGCTGATTGGTCCAAATTGACCAATCCACGGACTTCCTCACACACTCAGTGCAGGCTGCTCTGCTGATTTCTCCTCCCTGGCTGCAGGCTGATAACAGACAGTTGGGATCGCGGCGAAATTCTCTCCGCAGACCCATTCTCTCTGCAGACCCATTCTCTCTACAGACCCGTTCTCTCTGCAGACCCATTCTCTCTGCAGACCCGTTCTCTCTGCAGACCCATTCTCTCTGCAGACCCGTTCTCTCTGCAGACCCATTCTCTCTACAGACCCGTTCTCTCTACAGACCCATTCTCCTCCTTGCAGACCCTATCTCTCTGCAGACCCATTCTCTCTGCAGACCCGTTCTCTCTGCAGACCCATTCTCTCCGCAGACCCATTCTCTCTACAGACCCATTCTCTCTGCAGACCCATTCTCTCTGCAGACCCATTCTCTCTGCTGACCCATTCTCTCTGCAGACCCGTTCTCTCTGCAGACCCATTCTCTCCGCAGACCATTCTCTCTACAGACCCATTCTCTCTGCAGACCCATTCTCTCTGCAGACCCATTCTCTCTGCAGACCCGTTCTCTCTGCAGACCCATTCTCTCTGCAGACCCGTTCTCTCTGCAGACCCATTCTCTCCGCAGACCCATTCTCTCTGCAGACCCGTTCTCTCTGCAGACCCATTCTCTCCGCAGACCCATTCTCTCTACAGACCCATTCTCTCCGCAGACCCATTCTCTCTACAGACCCATTCTCTCTACAGACCCGTTCTCTCTACAGACCCATTCTCTCTGCAGACCCGTTCTCTCTGCAGACCCATTCTCTCTGCAGACCCGTTCTCTCTGCAGACCCATTCTCTCCGCAGACCCATTCTCTCTACAGACCCATTCTCTCTGCAGACCCATTCTCTCTGCAGACCCATTCTCTCTGCAGACCCATTCTCTCCGCAGACCCGTTCTCTCTGCAGACCCATTCTCTCCGCAGACCCGTTCTCTCTGCAGACCCGTTCTCTCTGCAGACCCATTCTCTCTGCAGACCCGTTCTCTCCGCAGACCCATTCTCTCCGCAGACCCGTTCTCTCTGCAGACCCATTCTCTCCGCAGACCCGTTCTCTCTGCAGACCCGTTCTCTCTGCAGACCCGTTCTCTCTGCAGACCCGTTCTCTCCGCAGACCCGTTCTCTCTGCAGACCCGTTCTCTCTGCAGACCCATTCTCTCTGCAGACCCGTTCTCTCTGCAGACCCGTTCTCTCTGCAGACCCGTTCTCTCTGCAGACCCGTTCTCTCTGCAGACCCGTTCTCTCTGCAGACCCGTTCTCTCTGCAGACCCGTTCTCTCTGCAGACCCGTTCTCTCTGCAGACCCGTTCTCTCTGCAGACCCGTTCTCTCTGCAGACCCGTTCTCTCTGCAGACCCGTTCTCTCTGCAGACCCGTTCTCTCTGCAGACCCGTTCTCTCTGCAGACCCGTTCTCTCTGCAGACCCATTCTCTCTGCAGACCCATTCTCTCTGCAGACCCATTCTCACTGCAGACCCATTCTCTCTGCAGACCCATTCTCTCTGCAGACCCGTTCTCTCTGCAGACCCGTTCTCTCTGCAGACCCGTTCTCACAGCGTTTATCAACCTTTTTCTTTCTCAATATCAAGCCACACTTATTGTTTTTACTTCGGCTGTGACTTTGTGTGTGCTCAGGATGAGTTTGGCTGTGTTTCGCTGTGTATCGCTAAACAATGAAACCACACTTCCACGGAGCTCAGCGCGATTCACAACGTCCGGACTGGTCCCGACCAATCGGAGCACACTGGGCTCACAGGGAGGGGGGGGCAAGAGCTGCAACGAGCCGTTTAGTGGAGAGAGTGAATACTGCTGAATACACATACTTTACAGAGATGCTGTTTGCGAAACCAATGTGAGTTTGGAAAATTGCACAGTATAAATCTATTCTAGTCGACCTCAACAATGGAATTATGATCAGTGGAAATGGCCATGACATGGGACCTTTAAACATCACTTTAAATGGAAGATCCCCATAGGCCCCGTCCACTCGATCGGTATCGGCCGATACTGATTCCGGCGATCTGCCCCAAAATTGGCGATCGGAGCATCACTACTATTCTTGCACTATCTATTTATATTCTTGATTTTGATTAGATTTATTTTGAATGTGTAAAACAATAATTATTATACAATACAAAAATAAGCAGTTTCAAATTGATATTCAAAAATATGCCTCTACTTTATTACACATCCAAAAAGAGGTGGGAAGAAGTTTACACTTATTTAATCCCACCCTTTCTCCCCAAAACTAAATTATTAACAAACAAAACAAAAACATAAAACAACAAATAGATAAACAGATAAATAAACAAACAAACCGAGGTAAATGATATTCAAGGAAAGATAAAATAACAAACCAAATAAATAAACTGCAAACATCCAGTTATGATTAAACGGCGCCAAATCATGTCCTTTTTAAAAAACAAAAACAGTTTTAAGTTAAAGGGGACCTATCATGCAAAATGCACTTGTGATGTCTTTTCTACATCAACATGTGTCCCGGTGTGTCAGGGAACTCACGCAGCGTCAGAAAATAAAACCCTCTCTCTTTTCCTCCGTACCCAAATCTCTAAAAACGGGGAACAACGGAGCTGATCCAGATTTACGTCCGATATGACGTAATATCTGAAAAGTGGACCCACGGCCCAATCAGAAACGTTGCTATCAGAAACAATGCCCGACTGTTTTGGACGTAATATGGTCGGTGTTTACATTAGCATCGCTAACACTCAGAGCTAACCTGTACTGGAGAGCATGTGTGTGAAGAAGCAGGAAGTAAAAAGGAACTCACCTTGTGGTATAACCGGCAAGAGAGAAAGCCTTTGAGCTCCAAACTGTTTCAGAGAGAATCCTTGATAATCCATGATATGGTGTTTCATCACGGCAGCATTTAGTTTAGACCGTAGCTGCCGGGTCCCGCATGAGCTCAGACCCCTCCTTTTTTAAAGCTTTATCCCCAAATCAGCACTTTAGAAACAGGAAGTGAAATAGAGGGATATGAGGCATGGCTAGAATGATCTGTTTGGTATTTTGAGCAAAACACTTCATAGACATGTTTTTTATATAATATATTTTATTTCTATATATATCTGAGACCTATGCTATTGCCTAAAAATAGCATGATAGGTGACCTTTAATGTTCTATTTTATTTGTATTTACTTGCACTATTTGATCAGTTGTATTGTGTTGCTCTGTTGGAAGAGCCTGTGACCTAAGAATGTCATTGATATATCTACACTGTAGCACACATGCCAATAAAAGCCTTGAGTCTTGAGAAACATGACCAGAAGCACCTTGAGAGGGCAGTGTTGGTGCAGAAAGCCTCCGGGCTGCCGTTAGTGTCCCAGTTTGAGAACGTCCAACATGTCCAGACTTAGCCCCCGCCGCCGCCTCAGCAGGCTGTTATTAGACCCCAGGGTTCAGGTCGAACTCTGCTGACATTCGGGCGGTGGTACCGAGGCATGTTGTTGAATATTTAGGAGTGGTTGTTTAGAGAAAATGATCTTTGAGCTCCCTCCATGTTGTTGGTGTGACGAGAACTCACAGAATTATTTTGAATGGTGACAAGATCCAACTACGGTTGAACCACATTCACCCGACTACATTTAAAATATATTTATAATTCAGGTTAATTTACAGAACTGTGTTGCTTTGTCCTTTTGTAAGCTGTGATTTATTTAATGTAATTCTCTCTCGACAGTAATGGACTGATTTTCTACTCGTGTTCAAGATGGCGAGAGACAGGAAGTGCATCCTGTGCGAAACGGTCCACGTCTCCAAGCAGGTAACACTTTATATACAATATTAATGTGTAAATAATACTGTATGATTTTAATTCAGACATTCACGAGCTGACAAAATGTATTTAAAAGGTTTAACAGATAATCTGCAATATTGATTTCAGTTTGTTCGGATTTAAGCAAATGTTCTTTTAAGAAGGTTAATACTTATGTAAATATAATAACTTGCTTTATATCTTGTTATTGTTAATTCAACATGTATATTTTCTACTTTCTTGTTTATTTCTTGTCTTTTAATTTTTATGCTGCTGCAACACAAACATGTCCCAAATTGGGATGAATAAAGTTCTCTCTTATCTTATCTTAATTACTCAATGTTTGAAACACCTTTTGCTCTTGTCAAATGCTGTCCAACGAACATATTTTTATCTTAAAAAAAAAATTAAGTCAGGGTTCTTACGATCATTAAAAACCTGGAAAAGTCATGGAAATTCAAAATGCTAATTCCAGGCCCTGGAAAAGTTATGGAAAACAATATATTTTCCAAAGTGTTGGAAAAGTCATGGAAATGTAACTAAAGTTGCATCAAATATAATTTATTGATTGATTGATATACTTTATTAATCCCCGTTAATCTGCATTTGACCCATCCTAGTGTTAGGAGCAGTGTGCTGCCATTTTGAACGGCGCCCGGGGAGCCGTGTAGGGAACGGTGCCTTGCTCAGAGACACCTCGGTAGCACTTGGTCTTGCCGGGACTTGAACTGGTGACCTTCCAGTTGCAAAGCCAAGTCCCTATCGACTTCGCCACCACCAATAGTAATACTATAATGATAATAAATACTGTATCGTAAAGTAATGAAACGTAAAATGGCGTTTAACTGACGAGGTGTTTTGCTGGAGAGAGATTTGAGTTGCTTTCAGCGTGTGGAAGCTAGTAAGCCTACTATTTGATTTGTTTTAGATAGGCACAACATGTTTCATATGCAGACCTTATTTTCCTGTTCCATGTTAAAATAAACCATTTTCAGTGGTACTGCTGAGAGAGAGTCATGTTTCTGGTCATGGAAAATTAGGTAAAGGTCCTGGAGAAGTCATTGGAGATCATTGGTGAAAAAGTGTATGAACCCTGTTTTAAGTATTTTAAGTGTTTTTTTTACTTAAAGAGAAGGAGAGCTTTCCAATTAAATAAACATCTTGTCTTTCAATATATACAATATTGATGTGTAAATAATACTTTATGATTTTAATTCAGGCTGCACACGAGCTGACAAAATGCATATAAAAGGTTTAACAGATAATCTTTATTATTCAATTTTTTATAAATTCCTTTTGCATTTGTCAATTGCTATCCAACGAAAATCTATTTATGTCCATTTTTTCTCCAAAAAGTAAGTATTTCAAGTGTTTGTTTAGCTTAAAAATAAGAATATTTTCCCCTTAAAACAAACATCTTGTCCATCAATTTGTCTGAGAAGTCAGAAATCACTAAATGACATGTTTATTCCTCCTATTGGGCACCTGTAATGTGTAATGCACCACCTTGCTAATCAAGCAAACCGGCAGGACATGTACAAGTGTATGGATACCTTAAATAAATAGTTAATTCTGTATGTGTGTCTGCAGGAGATGGATGAGCACATGAGGAGCATGCTGCACCACCGAGAGCTGGAGAAGCTCAAAGGAAGGTGAGTTGTTTCTGCAAAATATGCACATATTATGTATCGTGACCCACATTTCATTTCTATAGAAATTACAATGTGGCCTTTCTTTTTCCTCTTAGTTAAAACATTACTTTAAACTTAACTCAGAGGGTTTGACTTAGTATCAAGAGTTTCGTCTAAATGTATTTGTGTCACGAGGCACGAGTTCGTTTGAGTTATCGAGCCGCTGGATTTATGGGCAGCTGTCTCGCTTGTGGCAAATATATTTAGACACAATCTCTCCGGAACAACGGGCATGACCGAGAGGAGGCAACTGGCTATCTCGTGACGGCCGTGCAGATTAGTGAAGTATGCGGCCTGTCGCTGAGAGGGAGGGACGTGTGCAGCAAACACTGAATGATGGCCGAGTCGTTGCTACGTTACTGCGATTTCATATAAACATTGACATGTAGAGATGGCGCCTTTTTGGGGGTCATTTGCGGCTGGTTAATTTTGCACCGTGCCGTCTAGCTCCATTGTATTCAAGGAGAAGATAAGAGGCCATTTGGGGGGTTTTTACATCCTGTTCTGGATTTAGGGTCAAATCCTTCCATCTTCCATCTTGTTAAATTCAAGTAAAAAATGAAGTGTAAAATCCAATATTTGCCACTTTATAGAGGCGTTAACCGGTTAAATGCAGATTTCCTTTTGCTTTTACATGCTTGTTTTTGTACGAGATGCATTACCAATTGATCTACTGAGTGTTAACTCATTTAATCGAGTAATGGTTTAGTCTAAAATATGCCTAAAGAAAGTCAAGCCCAGTCTGTCAGAGTCGAATTTGAAGTCTTCAAATGTCTTGATTTGTCAGTCCTTAACCCAAAAGACATTCACTTTATTAGTCGTTAAAATAGAGAAAATCAGGATATTAATATACAAAAATACATTTACTGACATTTCTGCATGAAAAAGTACTTTAATTATTAATTTGTATTGAGTTAAGTTTATACATAATGGAGAAACAAAACAGAAAAATCACATTGTACTTGTGGCTTTTCTTGGCTTTTAACAATGATAGAAAACACAAGTACAAGATTATAAATAAAAGACAATGAAATAAATAAAATAAACATCAAACTGAAATTCAACAGTAATGGTTACAATTCAAGGAATATACTTTTACTAGAGAGCACGATGATGTTTGCCCAGGAAAGGGACGTAGCTACAGCTCTATGTAAGGTCGACAAATTGCAATTCCATCATCACTAAATCTGGCTGCATTACTCCTATCGCCGTAGCTGAGAAATAACCAGTCAAATAAATATCAGTAACACTATCTGAGCGATGAAGAGGGTGCCAACTGCACCAGAGGTCAGAGAAATGGCATCTTGCCATGACACAGATTTGAAAAAGAAAACGGAGCCTCTCGCAGAATCACAGGATGACATACTCGGGAGAGGTTTTTCAGAAGAGAGCAGCTGCAGGAGGCTCGGGTTGCAGAGGCTGTGGGATTGGTCCGGCTGGGGGTTAATAACACATGCTGCCCTGAGAGGGAGAGGGGGGGTGGATCCTGAGATCAGATACAGACACTTGGTCCTGCAGAGCCTCAGAGCGCAGCGACACCATCATGAAGCAGCAGTAGGCTGAGGTGCTGAGCCGCCCTTCCTCTCCTGCCGCGCTCCCGCCACCTATGGCCCTCAAAAGAACCCAAGATCAGGATGATACAGATTTTTATTGTGAACAAAATTACTAAGTTAGCGACCTCCTGATCTGTGACAAATATAAGAATTCGGTTTTCATTAAGGATTGTTGAGTATTCTCCTCTCCTGGTTTTATATTAAGACTTTTTAATTTTTTTGAAGTAACAAAACGTAGAGTCGGAAGCAACGATTTGCACGCTCTGCAGGAACTAAAACAAGATAACAAAAATGCCTGAAGGAAGGATTGATCGTCCGCTCTCGCCCTCCCTCCCCTCCAGGGACTGCGGACACGAGTGCAGAGTGTGTAAGGTGACGGTGGCGAGCCTGACGGATTACGCCGGACACATCTCCAGTCCCAAACACAAGCAGAACGTGGAGGCCGCCGAGCTGAAGCATGCTGGGAACGACCGCGACGAGGTGTACTTCGACCGGGCGTTTGTGGACCTCATCGAGAAGAGGAAGGAACAGATCAGGTGAGAGAGTCGGGATGTTTGTTATGCTGTTTGTGCTGGAGGTGATACTAGTGTTGCTTTAACGTCTTCCACTTCCTCTTCACGCTATGCTTGTTGGGGTTTTCCCTTTTACTCAATTGTGTTCTACAGGTTTTAGTGCATGTAAACGGTCTGTGAGGCCTTCAATCCCTGAGTTCCCTCCATTGGACTCCTTGGTTTACTTCCTGAACATAGTGACATCACTATCTAACACTCATGCTCCTATTGGCTAGCGCTCCCACACATTGTACGTGATTGGCTAAGGGGCGGGGCATCTCAGAGCGGTTGGCCAATCACAGCAGAGCAGGCCAGCCCTCTGTTCAATTATGTCTCAAATGTCGTTACAGCAGTTTCTTAGTTGACACCATTTGTTGCACAGTTTTGGTGCACGTTTAATAATGTTTGACCATAAAATAATTCATCGAAAAAATTGTCAAAATTACCTCAAAAATACTGTTATTAGCTTTTGAGCTGGAGGGGAATAACATGCATTTTGTCTACATGTCTCAGTGCGTGTCAATTACATTGTTTTTGTTGTTATTATGAGACAACTAAGTTATTTTAAAATCATTTTATCACTAATCCAGAGCCTATACGAAACATTTTGATGCATTGAGTACCGCTCATAGTGAGAAATATGTTCTTCTGTATTGTTTTGACCAGTTTGATACGTGTTTGTATACATGTGCATGAACTCAAATGCTCAGGAGTCTGTCGTTAGTGTGTGCATGCACCATGTATAGTCACAGTTCAGCTGTGCTCCGCTCACTGCCCTGTTATAGCTGCAGCTTCAGGTCGAGCTGCGGCTGGAGTCGTATGTCAGGACTGAAGCCCAAAATAAAGCGTTACAGCAAACACACACTGCAGGCCCTCCACAAATGGTCAAATACAACCAGAAACCTCCGCTATAAACACTCTAGAATAAAATACTCAGATTTTCCTTTTAAATATGTGTAATTGTAGTTTTAGGCATTATAATACACACATCTCAAATTAAGCTTCCTGTACCGCTCTTAAAATATGCATTTTGTGTGCATGTTTGGCTGATCACGCAATGTTGGATGCCTTAGAAATACGTCTTAATGTCAGTTAAGAAAGTTGAATATGTGTAAAGCTTTTTGAAGCTACTTTCATGCGTCTGCTTGTCACGTGTCGGATCACTTCCCCCTGCTGGTCATTGCTTTATGTCAGACTGTAACGCCAACCGTGACACCTGACAACAGATGGGTCTTGTTAAACAGAATCCAGGGTATCGGATATTCAGTTTTCCGTTGCAGGAGTGAGTCTTAAACCTGCATTTACACATTTGAGTGCCACTTGGGCTCTGTAGAATTCACTACACTGATGTTTTTCCTTCTTTAGTCTCACAAACACAGATTCATGAGACTATTAAATAATATAGCAAAGACCTCGTAGTGTATATTGATGCCTCTGTTTCTAAATATAGTGGAAGAGCAGATACACTTATGCACAAACATGTAAAAAGTCCTAAGAAAGAGAGATAACTGGTTGCTCTGTGAACTCATGTGGGATGTGTTGGCTGCTTTTGGAAAACAGGGAGACAATCCGAGCACTTTAAACCACCAGGAAAGAAATACTTACAAAGCCTTTATTAAATAATAAAAATCTGGTAAGCTTCGACCACAGTAGCTCACTTTTTAGACAGAGGCTTATTATATGTACAGCCCTTAATAACATCCATTTTCTGGGCTCAATATGTGTCTTGGCCGTTTTCGTTGTGATCGCTAAATTCCCCTTGTTTATAATATTATCACTGTTCCAAGCAAACGAGTGCTTTTGCTTTGAAATTACTTCCGTGAGTTTCGCCCCGCCCCTCGCTCCAATGACCATTAGACCATTTAGTAAGGTAAAAGGCAAAAAGGCCTCTCAGACGCTCTTCCGTTTACTTAGATTCTGAACTAATCTGCGCTCTTATTTTTTTTAAGGTAACTTCCGGTAGCAGAATATCAAAAAACTATTTTTTTTGTTTCTGTTTTCTAGTGATTTTATTTTTGTTTTGAGAAGTAGAAAATGAAAATCATCCAGTTTTTTAAGTTTAGTAAATCCCCCTTTTGACCATGATAAAGAAAAACGTCTTGTATTTCAATTTTGGTTTTTCAATTTTAAAACGGAAATGTAATATCCAGTCGTTTTTGTTTTTGAATATCCATTTGTGAAAAGAAAATTCAATGACCAAAACATACACTGACCCTCACGGCTTGCCATTGCATGAAAATTCCTCCAATTTGTGACGAGTTAACGGCCCCTACTCTGACATTACTAACCACAAATATATTTGTTTCACCTTCTAAATGTCTACAATGAATAATGAGTTTTCTTATCGAGAATAAATGCCAACTTGCATAGGAGAAGCTATGTTTGTGCCTGCTCACACACGTGTCTAAACAGTCATGAAAACAGCTTCGGGAGACTTCTACATGTGTGATGCATCTCTGTTTTTGTATTTGTAGGAAAGAAAAAGAGGCCACTTCTGCAAAGCTTGCAAAAGAAGAAGCGGATCGCCGGAGAAAGGAGGAGATAAGGCTGAAACTAAAAGAAACTAAGGAACACTACCGGCTGGAGATCGTCCGGAAACAACAACAACAGCAACAACAACAACAACAGGCTCAGGCCTCCAGAGGATCCATTCACAACCGGACCTGGTACCGGGGGAACCACTTTGAAGGGGAGGCACCGCCCTGGCAGCACAGCCAGCAGCCGGGGAGGAGCGCCACCTGGCACGCTCAGGAGCCGCCCAACCTGCAGAAGTGGGCGTCAGCGGAGTTCACCGGAGGAAGTTTACACAACCAGGGCAGCCGGCAGTGGGAGCAGAATGGATTCTCTCAGCAGAGCCGCCATCCGTGGCTGAGCAGCGGAGGCAGCAGCAACGGCATCTACGGGAAGAATAACATCGCCCAGTGCCCACCGCAAAGAAGCCGACCGCTGAGCTTCCTCGGGCCTGCTCCCATGTTTCCACCTCCACCTATTTTGTTTTCCCGCCCTCTTAACCAGTTTCAGAGTAAAGTGAATGATCAGCAGGCGGAGGTAGTTCAGAACGGAGAGGTGAAAACACCAGAACCGGATCACAGCAGCGGGAAAAGCTCTAAAACCTGTGGGAGCAATCCGAAGCTGGACAAAGCGTGTCGCTGGACTCCCTATCCCTGCACTAAGGGGTTTGAACCTGTACCCCTTAAGGAGACAACCCCAACAGAGAAGCCCCCAACAGAGAAGCCCCCAACAAAGAAGCCCCCAACAGAGAAGCTCCCAACAGAGAAGCCCCCAACAAAGAAGCCCCCAACAGAGAAGCCCCCAACAGAGAAGCCCCCAACAGAGAAGCCCCCAACAAAGAAGCCCCCAACAGAGAAGCCCCCAACAAAGAAGCCCCCAACAGAGAAGCCCCCAACAGAGAAGCCCCCAACAGAGAAGCCCCCAACAGAGAAGCCCCCAACAGAGAAGCCCCCCAAACCCCAGAAACAAGAGAAGCCACAAGAGGCTTTAAGCAGGCAGTCTCGGCCTGAAGAGAAACAGAGCGTGGAAGATAAAGGGAAGCATAAAACAATTCCCAAAACCAAACCCAGAGACCGGAGCAGCAGCGGGAGCAGAAGCAGCAGCAGCACGCAGAGAGACGCCAAACAGGACGCCACTTCTGGAGCTTCAAATCAGAAAGCGAGTAAGCCATCGCTGCAAAAAGACCGGAAGACGACATCAGTTCCTGGTCCAGCGCAACTCGCCTCAAAACAGCTGAAGGCACAATCCAAATCAGCCAGATTGAGCTCCCAGGCTCCGGCTGTCGGGCCGCTTCAGTCGAGGCAGGAGAGGCAGATTCCAGAAGCTTTAAAGAAAGCCCGACAGAGCGTGTTGGAGAAGAAGAGCTCCTTGGAGAGGAACAACAGGATGGAGATGAAGCTGCACATCGTGGAGGATCAGAGTCAGATCGGAGTGAATAAAGAGAACAGGCAGAATGCCGCTAAACCCAATCTACCGGATTTAGTGAGAGCAGAAAAGCCTGCTTCACAATCTCCAGACGGCGGCCAATTCCTCCAGTCGTTACAAGTGAGCACCTCAACTCTGGAGAGCTCCGATCTTGCAGCATTAAACCAGGAGAACACGGAGAAGGAAGCATCCGCAGCGGCCTCAGATGAAGCCATGCAGGCAGCAGAGTTCGGCCAGAGTTCAGAGAGCGACGCCTCCAGAAGTGGTGACGCTCAAACGGCGCCCGGTCTCTCCAAACTGGACCTGCCTCCCGTCCTGAAGCGAGACCTGACCAAACACATCAGCACCAAAAGCAAACCGGGCGCCCACGAGCCCAACCTGAACATCGCCCGGCGGGTCAGGAACCTGAGCGAGTCCCGGAGGAGCGACTCGGAGAAAGACTCGGGACTCAAACCCACGGTGAGGCAACTCATCAGCTCCTCCGGGTCCCGACGCAACGTCAACTGGGAGCAGGTGTACCAGGAGGTCCGGAAGAAGCAGGACAAAGGGAAAGGCATGCCGAGGTGGGTGGTTGATACTTTATTTACAAGGTGGAAGTCTATACAGTTTGGGAAGTCTAGGAATATGCTTAAATTAAAATACAGTCCTTAAAGAAAATGCTGCAATCCTCCCGTAATATTAGTTTGTTGTCTCTTGGCACAGACACTAGCTTGAGGATTACATTATTTAGATTTTTAATGGCACATGAAAAAGAATAGTAATATATACCTTTTAACAGAATATGCAAAAGCCTTAAGTCAAAGTCAACTTTATTGTCAATCTTTCAGTTTGTGTGTACAGATCGAAATGCCGTTTCCCACAATCCCGAATACAAAAATACAAATATGTATAACCTATATATACACAATCAACACATGTATACATATTCACATATTAAGACATAAATAAAAGCACAACATTCAATATATATATATATATATATATATATACAAAAACATACATTTAAAACCGAATATGCAAGGGAGGCCATCACTAGGGCTGCACGATTTGGGGAAATAATCTAATTGCAATTTTCGGACAGATATTGCGATTCGATTTGCGATATTTGTTTTTAAGCGACCCAACGGACGTTTATTGTAAAATGCGGCCATATCTCCGGCTAGGAAGGTCGCATCAACGTACTCCCATCTCTAGCACCCCCGCAGCTCGAGCTACGAGTGAAAGAACTAAACTTACATGAAACTTCCGTTGGGTTGCTTTAAAGTCAAGCTTCAGTTTAAGATGCTCCCTGTAATAGAAACATGTGATGGAGCATTACTAACCTGACTCAGATGGTGTGTTTCACCAAACCATCTAAAGCTCCATTGGAAGCCATTTGGAAAGGGCAGGCACTTTCAAAAGCACTTGGCAGGTGATTGGATCAATCTGTCTATCACCTTCTATCATGGGCCATTTCTGATTGGTTAACAATGGCTGGTACATGTGGAGCACAGCACTTCTGATTGGTTAACAATGGCTGGTACATGTGGAGCACAGCACTTCTGATTGGTGTGGATGACTGACGCACAAGAAGAACAAAAATTAATTTGCGATTTGATAATTGCATCATTTAAAATCGCGATTTCGATTTAAAATCGATTCGTCGTTCAGCCCTAGCCATCACCCTAAAAGCCTTATTGTGGGTCGCTCAGTTCAGATAAGACCCTGATATTTCAGTCTTTAGAATATGTATGGATCCTGTAGTTAGAGTTTTCTTTGATTCCCCGAAGCTTACATTTTGTCCCGTGTGTGTTTTTAGGTTTGGGATCGAGATGGTGCCGATGGAGCAGGAGGACCAGAGCCAGGAGGAAGGAGACATTCCCCTGATCGAGGGTTTCCAGTGGGAGTCTTTAATGGACGCCCCCGCCTCTAGAAAGCGCTCCTTATCAGAGAGCAGCGTCGCCCCCGCATCCGCCCACTCCCTGTTCACTCCCTTCATCAAAAAGGAGGCGCCGGAACAAAGACAAGCGGAGTTCACTTCTCCAAATCCTGCGTCCGCTAAAGGGAACAAGGAGGAGGAGAAGCAGCAGGTGGAGGTGGAGCAGATGCTGGGTCAGAGTGAGGAGAAAGCTCTGGAGAAGTTGTCCTCGGCCACAGTGAGGGCGCTGCAGAGGTCAGACTCTGTGCTCGGAGACAGCAGTTCGATGGAGGAGCTCTACGACGGACAGGGAACCGGGAAGAGACGAAGAGCAGCCGGGGTGAGAACAGAGAGGAGGGTGAAAGAGGAACGGAGGTGTTATACAACATTTAGGACGGATAGGAAGAAAATGGTATTACAAACCGCTAAATCTACAGGTCTATCCAGGGCCGTTTTCTTTTATTACCCTATCCGATAATAATCCAATGCAGAGGCAATAATGTAATATAATACATTATTTTATATATATTAAATATTTACATATGTATTTTTATAGTCTTGTATTTAAAACTGGCCCTTTGAGTGCAACCATGATGCTATGTGGCCGGAGATGAAATTGAGTTTGACACCCCTGCTGCGAACTATGCAGATGCATAGAGCCCCCCGCGGCCACTAGGGGGCCCCCAAGCTGACAGTTCAGGTTCAGCCTCAATATATTTGGGGAGAATTCAAATCAGCCATCTTTATTTGTAGACAGCCCTCCTGTGTTCGGTGAAGCATTATACGCTTAAAAATCAAATGTAGGATATAAACACAACTAAACTGCTATGATAGCAAAGCTGTGGCTTGTGTTTTTGGGGTAATAAAGTCCAAATCATCGTTGGGCTGTCACGTTGTTGAGAAAATGCTGCATCTCTTGCCTTTATTGACGTAGAGGAGCCTTATTGTTTACCTTTTTAATATCATTTTTTGTAAGTTTCAATAATTTTTTCCGTGAAATTAGCTGATTAACAGATTGATGCGTCTCCACAGATTATCGTAAAGGCTTCGGAGTCCCCTCCATTGTAGTTGCAGGGTTCTTACGGTCATTAAAAACCTGGAAAAGTCATGGAAATTCAAAATGCTAATTCCAGGTCCTGGAAAAGTCATGGAAAACAATATCTTTCCCAAAGTTTTGGAAAAGTCATTTAACTAAAGTTGCATCAAATATAATTTGTATTTTATCTAATTGCCAAAATAGTAATACTATAATGATAATAAATACTGTATAGTAATGAAACGTAAAATGGCATTTAACTGTCGAGGTGTTTTACTGGTGAGAGATGTTAGTTGCTTTAGCCCAGGGGTCGGCAACCAGTTGGATATGAAGTGCCATTTAAAAAATTGTTATCAGCGTGCCAACGATCGAGAATTATCAAAGGGGGGGGGGTTGAGGAGTTTGACGCTCGTGAACTATCAGCAGGAGGGCGGGGGGAGCCTCGCTGCGGGGAAGCAGTGTGTGGACCGGTCAGCGCAACTTACATGATGCCGAATTTAACAAACACATTTAAATAATTGGTTTAAACGGCATAATAATAAGGACGATCGTCCGTTCTGTGATTCTCCAGAACACACATGTTATGATATAAGGGTCATGCAGAGTGAGATGAGATCGCTGTCCCTTTAAGAGAGAGAGAGGGGGGTGTGGCTTGTGCATGTGTGTTTGTGGATGGTAGAGAAGAGAGAACCTATGGAGAGAACGTGTATGTTTCTGGAAGTGAAAGGAGGAAGCAGAAAAACAGAGGTCTGTGATGTATTCTGTCTCTCATAGTTGAAGTGTACCTAGGATGAAAATTACAGGCCTCTCATCTTTTTAAGTGGGAGAACTTGCACAATTGGTGGCTGACTAAATACTTTTTTGCCCCACTGTACTTGGCATCTCATCTCGGGTGCAAGGTCATCAATGTTTGGGCTCAGGCTCTGAGCTGAGGAGACCCTCAGGATGGAGTGAAGGTGTGCGTGCAATATACCGGCGGGCCAGATCTAATAGGAATTAGAAATTATCCTGCGGGCCGAAATTAAATCCACCAAGGGCCTGATTTGGCCCCCGGGCCTTGAGTTTGACACGTGCTCTAGCTTGTTCCTTATCTCTGCTTTAAGGACACACTGAATATGTTACAGGACTTCAGTGTTAACTCTAATGAAATGCTTCCTCCCTTGCAGGACGTCCCGAGTGCAGAGACGTCTTGTTTGGAACACAATAGCAAAAGGAGGAAAGTCAAATCCAAAAAAGGTCAGTATCTATGAGTTCTCCTGCAATAATGAATGTCATGCATATGGACTGCTGATTCAAGTGAGCTTATGCTGGAATGTCGGAAAAAAATACGGAGAATTTCTGCTTTGCTTTATTTTATATCAAATAATATTGTATTTGTGTGTTTTTGACTGACATAACATGAACTTTAAAGACATCCCCTTGGACTTTGAGAAACTGGGGCAGACATTTTTCACTATTTTCCAACGTGTACTGTTTGTTTTTGTCCCTTGCTTGTGCAATCAAATGATTTTGGTTGAATTGACTCCGAGTTAGAGGGAGATAATGAAGTATATTTCTGTTGTTTTTCTTCACAGAGCGCCTGCAGATCGACCAGCTGCTGACTGTCTCTCTGCGTGAGGAGGAGCTGTCTCGCTCCCTGCAGACGGTCGACTCCAGTCTGATCCAGGCTCGAGCTGCTCTGGAGGCGGCGTACCTGGAGGTGCAGCGGCTCATGGTGGTCAAACAGCAGGTACAGAACACTAACACTTCTACGTTTAGGACGTGATGAAAATGTTGATGACATAAAATATTATTTCAGACATTTAAAGCGGTCGCTGCTGCCCGAAAACCAAGATTATACATGTGACCTTAAATGATTGTGTGTGTGTAACTTATACTGGATGATAGTGATAATATTTGGTTTATGCATTTATCACATTAAAGGTCACCTATTATGCAAAATCCACTTCTCCATGTCTCTTCTACATCAACATGTGTCCCCTCTTCTCCATGTCTCTTCTACATCAACATGTGTCCCCTCTTCTTCATGTCTCTTCTTCATCAACATGGTTCCCCTCTTCTTCATGTCTCTTCTACATCAACATGTGTCCCCTCTTCTTCATGTCCTCTTCTTCATCAACATGTGTCCCCTCTTCTTCATGTCTCTTCTACATCAACATGTGTCCCCTCTTCTTCATGTCTCTTCTACATCAACATGTGTCCCCTCTTCTCCATGTCTCTTCTACATCAACATGTGTCCCTCTTTCTCATGTCTCTTCTACATAACATGTGTCACCTCTTCTCCATGTCTCTCTACATCAACATGTGTCCCCTCTTCTCCATGTCTCTTCTACATCAACATGTGTCCCCTCTTCTTCATGTCTCTTCTACATCAACATGTGTCCCCTCTTCTTCATGTCTCTTCTACATCAACATGTGTCCCCTCTTCTCCATGTCTCTTCTACATCAACATGTGTCCCCTCTTCTTCATGTCTCTTCTACATCAACATGTGTCCCCTCTTCTTCATGTCTCTTCTACATCAACATGTGTCCCCTCTTCTTCATGTCTCTTCTACATCAACATGTGTCCCCTCTTCTTCATGTCTCTTCTACATCAACATGTGTCCCCTCTTCTTCATGTCTCTTCTACATCAACATGTGTCCCCTCTTCTTCATGTCTCTTCTACATCAACATGTGTCCCCTCTTCTTCATGTCTCTTCTACATCAACATGTGTCCCCTCTTCTTCATGTCTCCTCTACATCAACATGTGTCCCCTCTTCTTCATGTCTCTTCTACATCAACATGTGTCCCTCTCTTCTTCATGTCTCTTCTACATCAACATGTGTCCCCTCTTCTTCATGTCTCTTCTACATCAACATGTGTCCTCTCTTCTTCATGTCTCTTCTACATCAACATGTGTCCCCTCTTCTTCATGTCTCTTCTACATCAACATGTGTCCCCTCTTCTTCATGTCTCTTCTACATCAACATGTGTCCCCTCTTCTTCATGTCTCTTCTACATCAACATGTGTCCTCTCTTCTTCATGTCTCTTCTACATCAACATGTGTCCCCTCTTCTTCATGTCTCTTCTACATCAACATGTGCCCCCTCTTCTTCATGTCTCTTCTACATCAACATGTGTCCCCTCTTCTTCATGTCTCTTCTACATCAACATGTGTCCTCTCTTCTTCATGTCTCTTCTACATCAACATGTGTCCCCTCTTCTTCATGTCTCTTCTACATCAACATGTGCCCCCTCTTCTTCATGTCTCTTCTACATCAACATGTGTCCCCCTCTTCTTCATGTCTCTTCTACATCAACATGTGTCCCCTCTTCTTCATGTCTCTTCTACATCAACATGTGTCCCCTCTTCTTCATGTCTCTTCTACATCAACATGTGTCCCCTCTTCTTCATGTCTCTTCTACATCAACATGTGTCCCCTCTTCTCATGTCTCTTCTACATCAACATGTGTCCCCTCTTCTTCTTGTCTCTTCTACATCAACATGTGTCCCCTCTGTGGAAAGAGACTCTGAAAGTTTCAGGAACAAAGATTCTCTCTCTTTTTGATCCATTTCTATAAAAACCTGTCTGAAAATGAGCTGATCAGATTTTGGCCACTTTATGATGTCATAACGATGTTTGGTCTTGTGTAACCATTAGCCAATCAGCAACCAAGGTAACCCCCCTCCCCCCACCTTATCGCCTGAATCTCCTCCTAGAGCACCATTGAGTTCTTTGTAACCAAATGTCTCTCAGAGGGGCGTGGGGAGGGGCTCCTTATTTTCATCTAAAGTAACAGACAGAGAATCAGCACTTTGGAAACAGGGCTGAAGCAGAGGGGATTATGGGTAATGCTGCAATGATCTGTTTGGTGTTTCAGCCAATCAGAGACAGGCTCTGTATATATCTGAGACCTGTGATATATGGATGAAAAACAGTATAATAGGGGACCTTTAAGTCGAGGCTTTTAGGCCCCTTTCTTTTGTGCTTGCTGTAATGATCACCTACCCACTTACAAGCAACAATACTCTCTTTCTGATGACTGTCATTTTATATGTACCCCCCCCAGATGAGTGGAGAGATGAGCACTCTGAGAAACAAACGCATCGAGTTACTCAAAGGGATGCAAGGTAAGGGCAATGTCTCTGAAATAGGAGAGGGGTCGGTATATGCTATTGTGAAGGAAACATATTTCATCCCGGACTATCGTTGCGGTTTCAAATGCGTATTTAACGTTGTGTACCAAAAAGTTTGGTTATGCCAACAACAACAACAACAACAACAACAACAACAACAAACGTAAACTGATTTATTTTGTGTGTTTGTTTACAGGTAGCTTAGAGGAAGCCCCTGTGGTGAAGCTAAAAGACGAAAGGCTGGATTCGGTAGTAGCTTATCCACAGATGCTCCCTTCCTCCCTCCCTTCCTCCCCCAGCCCAGATCCTCCTGCAGACCCCCCCCTCCCTCCCCTCCCTCCCCTCCCCCCCCCTCCTCCAGCCTCACCTTCACACCGCTCATCATCAAACAGGAACCAAAGTCTCCGATCCACGTCAGCTCGGAGACAGACCACGTGGAGAATAAAACCTCCTTCGCTCACAGCACCACTCCTGAGCTGCGGGCACCCCCCCCTCCTGCAGCTCAGTCACCAGGTAACAGCACACAGTACATTTATTTTCAAACTTGTTTTTTCTTTGAACATTATAAGAACAAACGTACACAATTGCAACATGTACATACTTTATGTCTTACAATCTTGCTGCATCGAAAATGAGACATTACTAGTACTGGTCATCGTGCAAAACCAATACAGAAATAATTGACAAGATCAAAATACTAAACAAGAAAACATGCATTCATAGTCATAGATAATAACAATTAAAGGTCCCATGTCGTGCTTTTCCGGTTATCACCCGTCCCCTTGTGTTATGAAGGTTTTTCTGCATGTAACGGTCTGCAGAGTCACAAACCCTCAAAGTGCACCCTGTAGCGAGTAAAACTCTAACACAGAGAAGACCTGTCTGTGCTGCCCCAGAACCCCTCGTTGGACATTTCTCTTTTTACATTTTTTCTTTCTGGGAACCAAGTGACGTAAGGAGGACCCCTCCGTGGATTGGTCAAAATGGACCAATCCGTGGAGCCGTTACGTTACGCGGATTGGTCCACATTGACCAATCCGCGGACTTCCACACACACACACCCTCAATCTTTTCTCAGCTGCAGCTCCGCCGATTTCTCCTCCCTGAGACGGCGGGACGCGGCGAGGCTGTGAGTCGGTGTGTGAGCACACACACAAACTCCCAGCCAGGCTGCGGGTGTGTGTTCGGGCTGGGTTTCGCTGTCTCGCAGACGGCCACTGGGCTCATAGGGAGGGGGGGGGCAGGAGCTCCAACAAGCCGTTAAAGGCAGAGAGTGAATACACATACTTTACAGAGATGCTGTTTGAGAAACCAATGTGAGTTTTGAACAATGTAAATCTATTCTAGTAGACCTCAACAATGGAATTATGATCAGTAGAAATGGCCAAGACATGGGACCTTTAAGGGGAGAAAAGAATAAACAAATGAATCCAGATAACAAGCTAAGTTTAAGTGACTTGGCTTTGATCATATTGTATTGTATTGTGATATCGAGACCGTTTTAATGCAGTAGGACAGTTTGAATCAATTATATGTTCAAATAAATAACAATGTCCTGGTAAAAGGCAGATTAAAGACACAGTGTGCAGTGTTCTGATTCCCTTGCATCTGAATCTCTTGCAGATCCCACCCCTAACTTCCAGCCGTCCCCTGAGCGTTACTCGACGAACACAGACCAGAAATGGGAGGTCTTCAACGACCCTGCAGACTCTAAAGAGAGCTTATCAGAGCTGGTGGAGACGATGGAGCGAGCCACTCAGGCATCGAGAAGCTGCCTCGACTCCAAAGCCTCCATCAAGCTGCTCTCCGTCAGCAGGCGGAGCTCCGAGGTCGGGAGCGTAGCTGATTCTGCAGCTTCTTCACACTACTTCGAGCCCCCCTCAGCTGTTCATCTGCCCACCTCTCCTCCTGAGTCGAGGAGCGGGAAGCGAGTGAGGAAGCTGAAGAAGAGGAAGGTGTTGAAGAAGGCCGGGGGCACGGAGCAGGCGGAGAGCAGCGACACGGAGCTGGACGGAGAAACGATGAAACCGCGATGGCTCCGACCCAGAAGGAGAACCAGCGGAGGATCTCCTGTCAGCACCTCAACGCCTCCTTCAGAGGAGAGAGACGTGAAGAAGGAAGACCCCGAGACACACAAATACAAGGTGGAGATTCCCCCGGCTGAGGAGGAGGAGGAGATGGAGGTGACTGAAGCCTGTCTGCAGCCCCACATCGCCTGCAACGAGGTCACCTCCACCAGCGACATGGACGTGTGCAGATCCTCCGAGAGGTGAGAGACTTCTGTACTCTGGGGAGAAGACTTTGAAAATCGAGTTCAATTTACTTCCATGGTCTGTTTTTTAACCATATCATAGTTGTACGACAGTGTTTAGGGACATGGGGAGTCATATTCAGAGAAGAAACTGAACATTTCCAAGACTTAAGTTGTAGAATTTCAAAAAGAACTTGGTGAATTGGAGTAAAGTAAAACCTTTTGAGGAAAAATCTCCAAAATGTGTGATATTTTTCCTCTTAATTCTTCACTTTACTCCAATTAACCACGTTTTCCCCCCTAATTTTACAAGTCATACATTTATGAGAAAGAGAGAAACATTTCTAACATTAATCTCTAAGAATATCTTGATTACTTCTTTGACATTAAAGCCAGCTAATGTATGAAGTGTTCTCGGAGATTTAAGTCAAAAATTCACACGAGAAAACACTGAAATTCTACACCAGCGACATGGAGCTGTGCAGATCCTCCGAGAGGTGAGAGGCTTCTGTACTTTGGGGATAGGTCTTTGGAAAACTCAAGTTCAATTTACTTCCACGGTCTTGTCATAGTTGTATGACAGTGTATTAGGAGCATGGGGAGTCATATTCAGAGACAAAACTGAGAATCTCCAAGACTTAAGTTGTAAAATTCGAAGAAAGAAAATTGGATAATCGGAGTAAAGTGAAAATTAAGAGGTAAAAATATCACACACTTTAGAGATTTTGAAGTCATACATTTATGAGAAAGAGAGAAACATTTCTCTAAGAATATCTCAGGAAAAACTTGATCACTTCTTTGACATTAAAGCCAGAAAATGTATGAAATGTTCTCGGAGATTTAAGTCAAAAATTCACACGAGAAAAACTGAAATTCTTCAAAATGTCTAAAGCTGACATTTCCAAAATAAAAAAAGAAGTAATAGCAGCACATAGAAGTGCCCAACATCAAAGCCATGAATGAATGCGTAGAGTAGAATCTGAAATATATAATATGTCGATGTTTTCATTATATTAACAAACTGAAATGTTCTCTCCACAGTGACATGCCGTTTCCCATCTTATCGCCCAAGATGTCGATGATCTTCTCAGGTACGTTTCCCTTTACGTTTTTCATGTTATACAGGCCGGGTTATGCTCCAACAAAAGCAGTTTAATCATATTAATACATTATTAAATCATGCAGGGAGGTAACATGCCCTAGTTTCTGTCACTTAAGGCCTTAATTTATCACAAAAATCTCCAATATTCTCTAAAGATGACACAACGTTATATGTGATGCTTTCTTGACAAAAAGGGAGCAAACGGTTCCCCAGTCTCTTTGCTCCAGGATTAGACATGTCTTCCTCCTCGTCGGTTAAAATAGATCCTCCGAGCGCCAAAATTACTTTGTATGGGCAAGTTATTCATAGAGCTGTTAGAGACGTGTGATTAGACCGACTTTCTGAGAATGTGGATATTTATTCTGAGGCCAACTGATCGCCCCCCCGTGTACCACGTATTTAAACAGAGAAACACACACAAGTTATACTTAGAGGCGATTGGTAGGAAATGTATTTCATGTAAAGTTGTTAAATCGGTTTGATGACCAGAATCAGAATTGGTTTTATCACCAAGTACGTTTACACATACGAGGAGTTTGCTTTGGTTCAAATGGTGCGTTCAAAGACACAGAAAGAAGAATATGTAGCAAAACATACTGTTGGGGAATAATTAGCTTAGGTATTCAACCTTCGACACAGTTCATCATTTTCTCCTCTCACTGTCTCTTTCCCGTGGCATAGGTCTACGGCCTTGGGTATTGCTGCTATCTCTCTTAGGGAGGGGCAGCTTGGGTGCATTGTTGTTGCCAGTCTGTGACGGAGCACAAGCCGCCATGAGGTAGTTTACTGTTCAGGGACGAAGGCTCCCTGGCGCTCATTCTTTCCTATGGACGAGAGCTCTAGTTAGATTCAGGGTCCATAATGCTTTAGTCTCGCTGATGAAGAATGTTGATTATTACACTCCGAACTAGTTAAAACCTCGAGCTGCAGAAGAGTTCTTCAGAATTGATGGTGGCATCTCTTCCGTGTGGTCAACTCGTGGCCCGTGACATGTCTTGTGAATTCTCCGGCCGAAGCTCCAAATAAACCGTCAGTGTTTGCCATCAAAGCTCCAGCTCTCCTCGTGTATTTAACAAAATGTAAATATGTGAGAAACTACGAGTGAGAGTACAATAACATATAATAAAATATGACAAATGCACTGATAGAAACACTATCTGTATATTTTGTGGTTTTCTGTTATTAAGGTAAGAACTAATTAATGTATTTCTTACTTTAAAATTGACTAGATTCTTTAAAGAATGTGTAAATGTATTAAGGAATACTGACGGCTTATCTTTCCCTAAATTAAAATAGTATTCAGTGTATCCTTGATTTGTTTTAAGGTTTAACTTTTAGGAACATCTATTTCTTTCCATGTGGGTGGGCATGTATTTGTAGCAGCCAATCCTGTGACCCAAAGAATATATATTAGCCATTTAAATACCATACTATAAGAGGGTAAAAGCAACAAAACATGTTGAAAACAAACAAGTATCAAAGCAGACGCAAAGGAAATGACATTAAAACAGAATACTCTTCACTTTGTGCTCATGTATGTATTTCTGTTATTCTCAGATGCGTCCTCGGACCACGGTGAGGATGATTTGCCCTCTGAAGGTGCGTTCGAGGGCCATCAGGAAGCTGTGAACGCGGTGCAGATCTACGACGGGCTGCTGTACACCTGCTCCGGAGACCGCACCGTCAGAGCCTTCAACCTCAGGGTGAGTCACACAACGCTGTTTAATCCTACTGTCTGTGAACGCATCCACAGAGAAGACTTGAAAGGGTTTTACTGAACAGTTTGAATCTGTATGAAACGTATATTTCCAAAATGTTGCACTGCTTTTTCTCCTTTTGTTGGTACTGGTATTGCAAATGATGAACAACCCACCAAGATATAATTAGTTTTGTACTGTTAGTATTAACAAAGCACTT